TCGTCACTGGCTCTGCCCCTGGGCCCCACAGCTGGGGTCTGAGAAAACCAAAAGGAAGGGAAGCAGGGGCAGCTGGAGCCATCAGAGGGCTGGGCGAACACCGGCTGTTCCCAAGTCTGACTGGGGAACAAGAAGGGGACAAGCAGGGAGGGGACAGTTGATCCCTGCTCCCTGTGTCAGTCAACAGGGGGATGCTTTCCCATGCAACAGATGGGTCTTGCTCCTGGAATAATGTAATCCAGCCCAACACTAAGTATGGCACGGATGTGTTTCTCCTGGGGAGCAGGAGGCCAAGGGATCAAATGTTGGTTGAGTCTAATCAAGAAGGCTTTTATAGAAGAGGGAAACTCGAAAGGGGCCTAAAGGATTAGCAGTACTTAGAAGTATAGGAAGGAGGGCTGGGAGCCCTCCCCCCCACCAAGCAAGAAATATCATGAGAAAGGGCATGCATGTTGGTTTGGGGAACTGGGTGGGCATGTTAGGGGGACTGGGGAAAAAGAGTGCATGGTAAGAAGCAGAGGACAGAAGGGATAGGGCAAGACCAGACGGAGTGAGGAGGCGAGATGTCATCCTACAGGGAAAAGGGAGTCCTGTAGGTTCCTGACAACTCCAGGCCAGAGCCCCGGAATGGCAGAACGGAAGGGGCCTCAGGTATCAGCCAGATCAACAACCACAACCCCAAAGCCCGATATACAGATAGAGAGACCGAAGTCAACGGAGGGAAAGCACCTACACAAGGTCACGGAGCAAGAGAGACCATGACAGAGACGAGACGAGTACCCTGGCTCCAGACCAGCAGTTTGGTCCTCTTCCCATCAGACCACCTTGCCAGACTGGCATTTTGATACAAAAGGAGTGTTTTAGGGCAGATTTGGCAGCAAGACGCAGGGGGAAAGGGATTAGTCCAGGGGTAAGCTTCTGGTCAGACTGGCCTCAAAGGACCCGGAAACCAGCAGCGGGGAGGGCACAGCGGGGCTGGTGGGAAATCAGAGCAGCAAGCGAGGGGGAGAGCTGAGGTCATTCGCAGGCCCTCGTCAGGCCTCGGGGGTGTCTCCTAAGGAGGTCACGGGGCATTTGAACCCCTTTATGCCCACCTCAGAGGCAGCAGAAAACTACACTACAACCACTACACACTCCCTGCCTCCAGGTCCTCCTCCCTCCGACCAACATCTACACAGGCCTGTGAGTTTCCCACTCAACATTTTAGGACCTCCAGGTTCTATCTGCTGCATAGACACGTGTGCTTGGATGATCAGGAGTGAAACTAAAACCCAGACCAGAACCTAAGAGCGTAGACCCTTCCTGGTGGCGAAGAGAGCCTACCAGGCTAGAACTGTGGGGCGGGTCTTGAGTTTGATGTGAGGAGCCGGAAATCAGAGCCAAGAGAACAGAAAAACTGTCTTCATCTAGCTCCTCCCTTGCACAGTGAGAGCAGCTGGGTGGCACGGGGCGGCTTCTTGTGACGGAAATACCCGAGAAACCAGAGAAGAGCTGAGAAAACAGTAAGAGCTGAGGCCAGGCCCACCGGGGTCCACTTAGGGAAGGGCAAGCGACACCTGACCGTATAGGCATGTCAGGAGGACCGAAGAACACAGCGTTGGTCACAGCTAGTGCTGATGAAGCCCTGAGAAGACTAAGGGCTTTACACACAGTACTTCACCTAATTGTTCCCACAGCTCGCAGAGGGAAGTACTACTAGAATTCTCACTTGGTAAACGAGGAAACGAAGTTCACGAACAGCCTGAAGTCATAGGGCTTATACCAACCAAACACCTGAGACACAGTCCTTGAAGAGGGGCACTTCCCCCCCCAACCCATCTCTGGATAATGCTGGGGTGCCACTGAGTCTAAATACTCCTACAGAAAATTGCTGAAGTCTTGACTTTTTTTTTAAGGATTTTATTCTTTCTTTTTTTTTTTAAGATTTTATTTATTTGACAGAGAGATCACAAGCAGGCAGAGAGGCAGGCAGAGAGAGAGGAGGAAGCAGGCTCCCTGCTGAGCAGAGAGCCCGATGTGGGGCTCGATCCGTGGGGCTCGATCCCAGGACCCTGAGATCACGACCTGAGCCGAAGGCAGAGGCTTAACCCACTGAGCCACCCAGGCGCCCCCTAAAGGATTTTATTCTTAAGCGAGCTCTATGCCCAATGTGGGGCTCGAACTTACAGCCCCAAGATCAAGAGTTGCCTGTTCCATCCAGGGACTGAGCCAGCCAGGCACCCCACAGAGTTTGCTGTTTTTGATTCCATTCCTCATGAAATTACATTTTTCTTACCCTGACAGTTTAGAGACAGAGGAAGGTGCAAAACCGAGACTGTGTAACCAACAGTACGGCTCAGTGATTGGGAGCTTGGATTTTGATGCCGAAAGGCCAGCTTTGCCAAACTCTTGCTGTGACCTCTTGATCAAGTCACTTCTCTAGGGCTCTAGTTCCTCATACGTAAAACGAGGCCAACTGCACCCGAGCTCAGGGGGTTCAGGTGAAAAGCAAGCGAGATGATGCGTGTGAAGCCCAGAGCGGAATCCTTGACTCCAGGAAGGGCCCGGTAAACACAGGCTGTGGCGATCATCATCTTGGTCCCTTCGCCATGCGGCACTGGCTGGGGACACTGGGCATCTGTATGTGGTTGTGACAGATCAGGAAGTAATCTTCCGAATGAGCATGGGTCCTGAGTATAGAGTGCAGGCTCTCCTGTCCCTCTGTCACTCGGTAGGCCCAGGGACCCCCCCGAAGAAAAGGGGAGCAGATATAGGACCCCCACAAGGCCCAGACATGCAGTTGAAGTCCACTGACGTTTCAAGAGCCCCATAGTCCTCCTGAGGATGGGCAAGGAGGCAGCCATGTCAGGACATACATAGGAAAGACACCTGGGGACTGTGTTGGGAGGCACAGCAAGAACCCGATCGGCCTCAGCGTGACAAGTCCAGGAAGGGGAAGGGATGAGGAATCTCATTCCAGTCTGTGTTGACTGACCTTCCCTCACGCGGCATCCCACTCACGGAAGCTTCACCATGTACCACTAGGAGGCTTCCCTAGGTACAGTCCCAGAATGGGATGGGGAACAAGATGCAGAAGAACCCAAGGGGCGCCTGGGTAGCTCAGTGGGTTATGCCTCTGTCTTTGGCTCAGGTCATGATCCCAGGGTCCTGGGATTGAGCCCTGCATCGGGCTCTCCCCTCAGCGGGGAGCCTGCTTCCCCCTCTCTCTCTGCCTACTTGTGATCTCTCTCTCTGTGTCAAATAAATAAATAAAATCTTTTAATAAAAAAAAAGAAACCCAAAACCTCTTCTTAGCTTTTGGAAAGGTAATTTACCAGAAGGTTATTTACCAGCAAATGATAAACAATATGCACGATTACCTTATTTATCTAAAGGCCCACTTAGCTGGTATCTTTCAATCCCCTGAAGCGAACAAAAAACCAGGACAAAGGGGGGCGCCTGGGTGGCTCAGTGGGTTAAAGCCTCTGCCTTCCGCTCAGGTCATGATCCCAGGGTCCTGGGATTGAGCCACGCATCAGGATCTCTGCTCAGCAGGGAGCCTGCTTCCCCCTCTCTCTCTGCCTGCCTTTCTACCTGCTTGTGATCTCTGTCTGTCAAATAAATAAATAAAAATCTTAAAAAAAAAAAAAAACAAACACAACCCAGGACAAAGGACCAAAGGCCTTGTGACATCCCTCCTGAGCAGTCAAAGGATTACAAAGTCCAGCCACTAAAGGCAGTGCATTTTAACTGCAGGAGAGTCTCTAACGCCCTCTCTGACTACCTGCTTTTACTTTAGACAATTGTAAGTAAGGTGGCTCATCAGAGGTCACAGACTTGAAGGGATCAGGGAGGACTGCCAGGGCCGGGCGCATTTAAGGCAAAGAGGAGTGAGAGCTGGCAGTCCGACCACAAGGGAGACAGCAGGACTCTGAAAAGCAATCAAGAGAACTCCGAGGACAGCCACTGGGGCCGCAGAGGGTCGAAGCAAACAGCTCTCCACGTCTTTGCAGACCAGAGGATACCGCTGCTTGGACCTCAGACCTGCCCACCGATAGGTCAGCTCTCCTGCGGGTGGTGTGGGGTACTAGGTATGGCCAGATGACTTGCTCTGGCTAATGAAATGTGAATGGAAACAGGGAGTGGGTGGCCCTTTTGGGCAGAAGGTTCAAGCGCTAGTGGGCGCTCCATCACAGCAGCTGGCAGCAAAAGCTTTCAGCCAGCCTGGGTCCCCAAGTGCGGATAAAGATGCCGCCAGGCAGAGCTTCCCCAACCAACAGAGATCAAGGACATGGGCAAGAAATACACCTGTTACCTTTGGGGACTGCTGTTAACGACTACATAATCTAGTTTATCTTAACAGAAACATCCTAAAAAGTCAGAGGTCGGCTCACATTAAGAAAATGTGTGCATTATCTTTTCGGTAGATTGCCACTCAAAATATTCTATTTTGTGGCTTAAAGGATAATTTTCAATTATATAAAGATTCACCTACTCCAGTGTTGCCGGATAAGTGAATCAATACCAGATCATGAACTGAATGGGGGAGGTTGGTCCAGTTTCTGAGTACCTTCTTAACGATACCTACATAGACATGGGACATACTTGCTGGGTCTCCTGGGCTAATGCTGCCAGCACTGGCCCCCAGCACCTGCAGGACCAGCCCCAGGCACAAGAAGTGGCATCTACTGGTTCTCTGAGTGCGGACGGGCTCTGGTCCCTGTACGGGGGTTTGCAGGCTCTCTAAAATACTTGTATGCACTCTCCTAGAAGAAGTCCGTAATGTGTTGTTGAGTAAAACGGCAAGTCCCAAACTTCAAAATATACAGTCTTTTAAATCATATATGGAATATTTATAAAACTGATCTTCCAGTGGGCCAAAAAGCAAGTTTCAACAAATGTTGAAGGATGAAGACCATAAGGTTATTTTCTTTGACCACAAAGCAATCAAGCCAGAAAACAAAAGCTGTAAGATAGTTAAAAAAATCTCACATATTTGGAAAGTAGGAAACATACTTTTAAATAACCCATGGGTCACACATCCTTACGCTTAATCCGCTGAACAATTCATGGTGCAGATCCCCGTTTTAGAAAGTCGGGAACTGAGAATGGAAAGAGAACACAATTTGCTCGAATTTACACGGTGGTGGTAGAGTCAGGACTCAAAACCAGGATACACAATTCTAGAGCCCAGCGCTTTAATAAAGGATTTTCTCTTTATACTCTGTCTTGCCAGAATTCCTAAGATTCTCCCAAGTCTCAGTGGACCCGGTATTTCGTGTCTTAGAAAGAACAGCTGTTGAAATGGGAGACATGGTCCCTGCTTGCTTTGGTGGCACTGACCTTGGGTCTACTGTGTAGACCCTTTTTGCTCCTGCCTCATCTGGAGTCCCCTACCTGGGCTGAGGTATGATGTCTGAAGGAGGGGAGAGGAGAGTTTCAGGATGATGTTCCCGGACAGCCTTGAGTTAGATCTCCAGGAAGATTTCCTTTCCTTTTAAAGTTTTTTTCCCCACATGGGCATAAGTGGTAAGCGAACAAAGAAAGACAGAAGGAAAAGTTACTTCCAGATGGCTCGCCATCTTGCTCTAATGTAGATTAAATAAAGAAAATATTCCAATGTATCATTAGGCAAACATGAGTATTAATATCATTCATATTATAAATGGAACAGAATGGAAATTCAGTCTATATCTTGACATACATTTGAGGCTAGGGCCTCAGAGCCGGAAAACAGACAATTATAGCACCCTGATTCTGGGCGCGTTGGAGGCTCATGATACCTGAGGTAAGAGGAAAGACCAAAGTGTTCCTAGATATCTCCGGGGGGCGGGGGGGCTGAATTATAACCAACCAAACCGTCTCCCTCCTGTGGCAAGGGCCTGTTCAAATGGCCACTTAATGGTGTTAACCTACCTTCTCCATCTCCACCAACTTGTGTGGGTTCCTGTTAAGGTACATTTCTGGCAAACCTCCCTGACACCCAGAGCTTCTGTGATACCACTCTGGACCTCAGCTTCTCTCCCTATGCTGTGAGGACACTACTCCCACCCTCCTCTGTGGGCTCACAAGTCTGAGTCCTGACCATGTTTCATGGAACAAGAAAATAAATGGAGAATCTTGATGGTGGTCCACGTCCTAGAAAGTTACCTAAAGTGCTCAGAACTTACCAAATGGCCCTGGGGAGGGAAAGGCTGAGAGGCAGGAAGAGGTAGTGCTAAGCTGGGCTAGAGGTCCTGAAGGTGGGAATTTCACTCCATCCTTTGGTTTCATTTCTTCCATGGCAGAAGATACAATGGCCCAAGGGGAGAGAGTAGGCCCCTGGGTTAATACTGTTCAGCTTAAAGCTTGAAGCAACCCCCCCGCCCCCCAGCTCTACCCCACTGCTTGTTCCCCGCACACACCATCAGGGTTCAGTTCCCAGAAAGTCAGTAAGTGATTCAAGTCCCAGCGTGAGTTTAAGATCAGCAAGTCCAAGATCAAAGTACCCAGTTATCCAATCAGCAGCGTAATTACATCCTCTTAATCTGTGAGGGTCACATCAGCCACTTCTTGGTAGGAGGCTATGTGTCCCTGGGCAGGCCCCAAATGGGAACTCAGCTCAGTGACCTTTCACTGAGTTGCGCCTACAGGCTAGACAGATGGTGTGGGGCCCCTGGGGTGAGCGATGGTCCAATGCCTTCAATGAGGCTGTTCCACTGGTCATAGTCCTCTTGTAGGTCTGTGTGGGAAAAAAACAGGAAGGTTAGGGAAATCTTTGTAAGGTTAGTTCAAAGAGTAGCTACCGTGGATTTCAGGGGTCATCCTGGAGAAGAGCACCAGGGATATGGAAAGGACTGGTTATAGTGGGTGTGATGGTGAGAGCACTATGGTAACTAGTATCCACTGAATGTTTCATCAGTGTGCTTCATAAATGACTTGCTTGACCTGGAACAACCCAGTAAGGACAATAATAATAGCAGAAGGCAGCATTTACCGAAGGGTAATGCATCCTAGAAACGGTGCCAGACACACACCGATTCATGTAATTTTCACAGTCTCCCTACACAGAAAGTCCTGTATTAGCTATTTTAGAGAGGAGGAAACTGAGGCTCAGAGAAGCTACCCGACTCACCCAAGGTCATTCCAATGGAGAAGTGGTAGAGACAGAATTCAAACCTGGGTCAAAGGCGTGAGAAAATGGAAAGCCCACGTCCAAGCTCAGGGAAGCCGTTGAGCAGGAAGGAAGGGATCTTTGCACGTCAGCCAGGGGACTTCCATGATGGGTGGGAGAGAACTGGATGGCAACATCGTGAGGCAGCCCATCACCGGATAGGGTTCCAGAGAGGGCCCTGGGATCGCAGGCAGATGGGTCTACCATAGCAAGAACAGTCAAAAAGGGACTAAGGCCTCAGGCGGAGGGAGCAGGGCACAGCTGAACAGGCAAATGGTGCTTTTGTTCCAAACAAACAAAAGCTGGGACAGAAGGCAGGGACCACTCTCCTTCATCTCTGGATCCCCAGTGCCCTGCCACAAACCTGGCAGGGAAGAGTTCCTCAACAAGTAAGTGTTACATATTCATCAATTCAGAAACTATCAAGCACACCCATGATGGGCCAATCTGTTCTTGGTGCTAAAAATACATCCACACAAAAACAGAAACCGTTATCCTCGTAGAGCTCATAATCTAATAGGCAGAGGTAACAATAAACACAATAAATTATATCGTGTGGGAAAAGGTGGTAAGTACTATGGGGAAAAAACAGAGCGGATAGAGAAGCAGTGGTGGTGCCTGGGAGATGGGGATGAGGGGAGGAAGGGAAGGTACAGGGCCGTAATAAGGGGGATCAGCGGTGCCTGGGTGGCTCAGAAGAATGTATGACTCTTGATCTCAGGGTCATGAGTTCTAGCCCCACACTGGTATAGAGATTACTTAAATAAAATAACTTAAGGGGCACCTGGGTGGCTCAGGGGGTTAAAGCCTCTGCCTTCGGCTCAGGTCATGGTCCCAGGGTTCTGGAATTGAGCCCCGCATCGGGCTCCCTGCTCGGTGGGGAGCCTGCTTCCTCCTCTCTCTCTCTGCCTGCCTCTCTGTCTACTTGTAATCTGTTTGTCAAACAAATAAATAAAATCTTTAAAATAAAATAAAATAACTTAAAAAAAAAAATAAAAGGGTGGTCAGGGTGGGCCTCACTGGAGAGATCTGCACAAAGACCTAAAGGAGATGGGAAGAAGCCACGGGACCAAACAGAACAGTGTCGCAGACAGCGGGAACAGCAGTGCAAAGACCCCGAAGTGGGTGTGTGCCTGGAGCACCGGAGGCTTGTGCAGCAACACTGAAGGCGGCCTGGGGAGGAGCAGCAGGGAGGGGGGGCCAGGAGGGACCGAGGGCCACATCATACAGGGCCAGCAGGACGCTGGATATTGGCTTTGACTCTCAAAGAAATGGGGAGCCATGGAGGATTCGGAAGAGGGGTGTGAGAGACTGGACTTAGTTTCTATCAGGTTCACTCTGGCCACTCGATTAAGAAAAGACCATGTGGGGAGGCAAGGGCAGGGAGAGACAACTTGGACAGGGTGACAGTCATGGGGGTGAGGGCATGTGACGAGGTTCCACATGTAGTCGAAAGGTAGAGCCAAGAGGATTTCTGAGGGATCGGAAAGGGGAGCAAAGAATGAAGACGTCAGCTTGAGTAACTCGGAATCAGGTTTTGTTGGGGATGTCTACTGGGTGGAGAAGCCCTGAGTGGCGGGTTATACAGATCTGATGCTCGAGAGATCGAACTGGAGACATAAAGTGGGGTGTTGTCAGCCTGAGACTTACCCACGAGAGTGGATAGATAACGTGAGGGGATACAGAGACAAGGTCCAAGCCCTGAGCCCCGGAAGCAGTAACGCAGACTGAGGAGGAGCAGACGTCCAGACAGGAGAACACCCACAGTGGGGTATTCTGGAAGCAAACATGGGGTTTCACGGAGGAGGGCATCACCAGCTCTCTCAGAAGGTGCTGAGCATGGCAGCAGATGAGGAAGGAGAACTTGCCACCGGGCTGAGGGCTGTGACGGTCACTGGCCATGTTGACAAAAGCAGCTGTCACAGGGAACTGGGATGCAAATGCCTGACTAGAGTGGGTTTAGGAGAGAATGTGGAGAGAAGAGGCAGAGAAAGTAAAGACGGACATTCTTTCAAGGAGTTTTGTTAGGAGGAACATGGAAATGGGGCGCTAACTGGAGGGGAAAGTGGGGTCAAGTAGGTATCTTTTAAGAGAAATTTCAGGGTGATGGGCACCTGGGCGGCTCAGTTGGTTAAGCATCTGCCTTCGGCTCAGGTCATGAGCCCAAGCTCCTGTGATTGAGTCCTGCATCAGGCTCCCTGCTCAGCGGGGAGTCTGCTTCTCCCTCTCCTGCCTCTCCCCCTACTTGTGCTGCGTCTCTCTCTCCCTCTCTCCCTCTCTCTCCCAAATAAATAATATCTTTAAAAATAAGAGAGAGAGAGAAATCTCAGGGTGAAATGAACCAGGTCAAGAGGGGCAGATTGACGTCTGCAGATAAAAGGAAAAACCTGTTGTCACAATCACCTTGAACCCACGGGGGAGAGAAGGGAACGTGGTGTGCAGGTAGTGGGGCTGGCCTTAGAGAACGGACTGGGAGCTAGTAGCCAGGCATGGAGCAGAGCACCACACAAAGGTGGGTGGACGAGGTGCTGGGATTTCGAGGAAGTACCGGCTACTTCCATTCTCCCAGTGAGCTGGGAGGCCAAGTTCATCAGCTCAGAGACAGGGGAGGGGAGGGTGTCAGAGGTCTGCAGAGAAAGGAGAAGGGAGAGTGGAAGAGTGGAGAGAGAAGCTGCCTAAAGCTCATAGGACAGAAGCACCGATCTTCTTAATAAAAGAGAAGGAACATCCCTGGGTCAGTGGCAGATGCGCTCCCAGAGGCATTTTTAGGAGCGGGGAGAGGTACAGCTCGCTGCAACCCATTTTGGTTTCCTGTGTGACATGCACCATGTGGCCACCAAAATGCTTTTCTCTCTTTGCAAAGCTAATTGCCCCAAACGGAGAGGCTTTGCCTTTTCAGACTCTGTCCCATCTCTTCTCGCCTAGTGACACCAGAGCCTCGGAGTGGGACCCTCAGCCTCTTAGACAGGCCCACCGCCCGTCATCCATGACGCAGCCGGACGGCCCACACACGTCTACTCATGACACTCCCTTGCCAATGGACTAAAATCCACACTCATTTCAGCAAATCCGTGGCTTTTACACCTGGCTTCTGCCCACTTCTCTGCCTTTAAGTTCTGCCAATTCACTCTCCTGGGCGCCAGACACACTAAACCCAGTTTCTCCAAACCGACCACACAAGCCTCTGTGCCTTCTGTTTACAAGACCTGGGCCCCTTCCCTGGTGAACCAGACTCATCTGTTAAGGTTAAAGACACGCATCACTTTGTCTGGGGATCTTCCTCTCCTGGCTGTCCTTTCCCTTCCATCAGTTTGGTGCCTGCTCTCTGTGTCTCCTCAAGACTGAGGCTACACCTTGGTCATTGGAGTCGCTGGCAGGACAGGGCATCAGCTAAGTATGTGGGCTTTGGAACAGGCAATTTAGGTGCATTTTGGCCTTGCCACTTCATAACCAGATAACTGCGGACAAATTACTTAAATTTCCAAAGCTACATTTCTTCATCTATAAAATGGCCTTAATGAAACGAGTACCTACCAGAGAGGACCATCTTCAGGATTACATGTGATGGTGAATCTGAGTACTTAGTGAAGGCCTGGCATAAAGCAAGTTCTGGATAATCTCCCTACAGTCTAAGACTCTCCTTCCCAGCTCTTCTGTTGGTCTCCAGTAATGAGCATCTTAGCTCAACAGATACCACTTCTAAAGGCAGCCAGATCATGCCACTGTGGCCTCCCCTGCCATCTTTCACTCTTTAAAGCTAATGACATGATGCTAACAGTGACCAGGGAGAGTGGGCAGAGGACCATGTAGTCAGTCCCCACTGCAGTCTAGGGTCACAGATCCATTCCCTCTCCCATGCGGTGATAGGGCACTGCTTTAAAGTATTAACCCTAAGGTCTCTAAACCCAGGGGGCATCATGGCTCACAGGAGCAAGATGAAATGAACATGTACGTAGATATGTAAATTCCAGTTAAGAGAATCAATACATTCGTAACAGAACAAATATATTTTAAAAGCAAACTGAATCCGTGGGCACCTGGGTGGCTCAGTTGGTTAAGCATCTGCCTTCAGCTCAGGTCACGAATCCCAGGATCCTGGGATCGAGTCCCACACCGGGCTCCCTGCTCAGCAGGGAGTCTGCTTCTCCCTCTGCCCTTCACCTTGCTTGTGCTCTCTCTCACTCACTCTATCTCTCTCAAGTCAATAAATAAAATATTTTTTAAAAAACGAAAGCAAAGTGAATTCACACCAAATTTGTTAGGCACTCAGGCCATGCAATTAGACGTCTAGTGTCCAGAGCATAGAGGTGACCGTCCTGCTCTATGTACCACATCCAGCATGTCAGGTTCAAGTCAGGGCACCACACATCAAAAGGCACCCTGACAAACAGTGCATCCAAAGGGGATAATAAATGGCGACATGGGGAACTGCATGGGGAACAGGTGGAGGTACCATGGACATCGAGCTTACCGAACAGAAAACGCAGAGAAGACACCACTGGGGACTTTGAGTACCTGAACAGTTGCCACGTGCAAAGGGTCTGCAGCTTCGATGGGTGGCCCTCGAGGGGATGACCAGGCCAAGCAGAGAGGAGTCAGAAAGGATCAGATCTTGGTCTTAGGCTAGAGTGAGGTGACCCTGGACACTCGGGGTGGCCTGGCTCCCTTCTGAAGGAAACTGCTCTGTGCACAACACCGCTGAGGGATCAGTCTGAGGCACACAGTGGTAGCTGCCTCCATTCTTTCTTTTTTTTTTTTAAGATTTTATTTATTTGAGAGAGTGTGAAAGCAAGAGAGATCAGAGGGAGAGGGAGAAGCAGACTCACCGCTAAGCAGACAGCCCGATGCGGGGCTCCATCCCAAGAAGCTGAGATCATGACCTCAGCCGAAGGCAGATGCTTAACCGACTGAGCCACCCAGCCCCTCGCCTCCTCTATGCTGGCTGGATTAGAAAAGGACATCAGTCAAGAGAGCTCCAGGCCTCAGTGGGGCACCGGCCTACAACGTACTGCTAAGTAAAGATGAGCTGGGAGATCAAGCTGTCTCTCTTGGGAATCTGGTCGAAGAAACCCAAGAAAATACGGCAGTGAGGACCGACAGCCACAGAGGAAAAGGATGCCACGAAGTAGGGAGACCAAGCCGTGAGTGGTTTGAGCTGACCGAAGCTATGAAGAACATAGTTACCTATGAATAAGGAGATGCTATCAGCAAGAGAAAAACCAGAGTAGAAAAGAAGAAAATAGACCAGAGGTAAGAGAAACAGATGTCATTAGAAGAAGAGACAGAGAGACTGAGCCCACGAAAGAGACCAGAGAGAGCAGTCAGTCCTGCTAAGCTACCTCGGTTCCCCTAACTCTTCACTTCCCACGTGGCCAGGTGTACTTTCAGGGGTACTCTCCTTTTTTTCCTCAAGGTAAATGATGGAATCTCCAGTCCTCATAACCAAAAGGAGCCTAACTAGAATATCAGTCTGAAAATGGAGAGGCAGAGGGGGCTGACCCTCGTAGCGGTGCACCCTCCATGCTGCCTGACTGTGTAGTGGGACGAAGGGAGAGGAGACGTCCCCTGGGTGGAAGGCTGCACCAAAGACCTCTACAGGCGTTGCCACTTAGCTGGTCAGTGATGGATGACACTGGTCATAAGCCTTCCATGCTTTGTTTTGTTTAAAGTATGTCTACAAACTTAGCCCATGTGGCATCATAACCGCCTCTGCAGTACAGGTGAGGGGAGTGAGAATGAGTTAGGACACAGGTAATGGAAGAGAGAGAGAGAGAGAGAGAGGTGAAAGTGCCATTTACAGTGAGGAAACCGAGGCTCAGAAGTAAAATGACTAGGCTGAGGTCATTCGAAGAGTAAGAGACAAGAGTTAGGGTCTGCAAACTTACAGCTAAGCATTCTGTCTGCAACTCTACACAACTCTCTCCTTCACTCAGATTTTTCCTTTTGCCATATATCTGCCTGACCTGGGACATGTCAGGATAGGCCACTGGGTAAGGAAATCTAAGGGACCCCCAGGGCTGCCCACAAACCCCAGTTCTCTACTTACCTAGGTGCTTCTGCAGGAAGGCCAACATGGCCCTCGCCATAACCTCCTGACCTTCATACGGGTCCAAGCTCCCACGAGTTTGCGTGAAGAAGAATTTACCGATCCAGTTACCAGCCACAAAAGCAAAGTCAGTTTGACTCCGATGAACAGAACCACTAGAGGCAAAAAGAAATGAGTAACTGGTACAGGTCTGGAGGTGAGAGCACACGAATATTTGCTAAGCACCTACCATGGGCAAGGGGCTTTATGTGCACCACCTCTGAGTTTTCACCACAGTCTCGGAAGGGAAGCATTTTCCTTTGGACAGAATCAGAGGAAATGATCTGCCCAAGGTCACACAGCCAGGAAGGAAGAGAACTAGGACTTAAATGCAGGTGTGTTTGGCTTCAAAGCTGCCTCAACCCCCAGACCACGTCTAACAGTGCCGGGAAAGGCTGAGTTAAGTAGAGTAGGGCAGGTACAGGGCAAGGCGGCGAGGAGGCAAGGCCTGCCGTACCTGCCATTCCACTGTTATTATAAACCACTGTGGCTTTTCCCTGGTGATGTTTGAATAGTCACAATACATATCGGCTCCTTCTTCATCAGAATAGTGCCACAAAGTAAACAGGAGAAGGAATCACCTGCCTTTATTGAGGTAATCAAAAAAGTAAGGGCAAACACCTATAAAAGAGGGCTTTTGGATTAGAATTTAAGTTCCTAGCTATCAAATGCATTTAATTCAAAAGTGAAATTCCCACTAGGTTCACTTTGGGCTATGACTCACAGCTAAGTATTTACTAGTCAATTCAATGAGGGAAGAAAATCTAAACGCTAAACTTTAGTTGACATCATGCAGAAAACCCGACTTGTTTTTAAAAATGTGTTAAGGCAGATGAAAAAGTGGAAAGAATAATATAATGGACACTTGGGTACCCAACACTCGGTTTAAGAATACAGTGCGATCGCCCTTGGGTTCTCCTTGCCAACTGCTCTCGCCTCCTTTCCCTCCAGAGGTCACTATTATCCTCCATCTGACTGGCTGGGGAAACTGTCATGCAGTCCCCTGCAGCCATGAGATCTGAAGGACAGGAGAGCACTGGCCCTAAGGAAGACAGCCTAGCCAAGAGAAGCATGAAAAGAAGTACTGACTACGGGACTCCCAGCATTCCAGGGCTTTGGATTCAGGATTTCAACTACCCGAGTGATTCCAGAAGCCTGGGACATGTAGTTCGTTGTCGGTCGTTTTGCTGAACTAGGACCTGGGACCCTTGAGGCATATGTGGTCAGGCTCTGTTAGGCTCGAGTGCAGGGCAGAAGCAAGTTGGGAGACTTGTCCATGGGCCCTTAGCCCTGCACCCGAATTCTGTGCCACTTCTGATCTACGGTACGGACCTGAAGGTCACTCAAAATTTTCTTTCTGTGATAAGTGGCTCCCAAGAGAAAACCACCTGATGATGCTAGTAATGGAAGTGAATGTGGTTTCTCTTGGGGAGAATACAGATGGTTTATGGACGATATCTGAATTGAAGTATTCAAGGTCTCCAAAAGTCTATCTTGTGAATGTCAAGGGTCTGTTGTATTTACACTCTTCAAAAGACTCAATAAAATTCCCAAATGAGGTTAGAGATCTCTGGAGTCCATCGACCCATACTTTCCCTCTCCAACTCACAATCCCACAATACTCTTCTTCCAGAAGCAACAGGTAAATCCCATCATCGGGTCATATAAAGTAGTAAAGGAATTGCTGTAGGTAGAGCTAGATGAAGGAGGACAGACCAGAAATCCTAAAGTAATTAACACTTTGCATTTCAGGAAGTATTTAAGTATTGTGTTAATGGGTAGAACTTACAGATAATTTACAAGAAATTAAGAGAGTCATCACCAAGTAGCAAACGGAGAGGACACTGGGGATCCTGATCAAGACCCAGGGGCTTACTCACAGGACAGTTATGATCCTGGACTGTTCGTGCTGGGCACATATCTTCTTCATCGAGTTGACACTTTCCACTGTCTGGAATTTCTCAGCATTGATAAAGAACACAGGGCCTCGGGCTTTGGGGTAAAAGTCATGTTCCAGAGGAAACATCCAAGCGTCCAGAGCCACAGCACACCTGCGACAGGACCAGACATTTGGAACTGCTGTGCAGAAACCCAGGCAAGAATACTCAGGCCAGTGGGGGAGGGACAGGGTTCTTCCTTCAGTGGGACGAAGGCTCAGAAAGCCAGGAAGGGGGTACCCCCAGACCCTTCAGTTGGGATCTTGGAGAGACGTCCCTTTTACCTGTCACCAAAGATGCTTTTAGGTTTTGTTTGTTTGTTTATATTTATTTTAGAATAGGCTCCATGCCCAACACAGGACTTGAATTCACAACCCTGAGGTCAAGAATTGGATGCTCTACTCAATAAGCCAGCTAGATACCCCAGATCCTTCTAGATTTTAAAGTCCCTGACAGCAAGGATCAGACCTTTTCCCAGGTCTACTCTCAGGCAGCTGACCTGGGTTACTCAAAGGCCATTCATTCAACATTCATTGAGTACCTACTATGTGCTTAGCCCCATGCTATGGATACAGAGACACATAACACAGTTCTTGATCTTAAGGAGCAAGGGGAGACAGAACAGACAAGGGAACAAAATAGAGCTTAGTGCCCTGACTGCATGAGGAGCTATGTGAGCCCACAGTGTGCACAGCACAGGAGGTCAGGAAAAGCTTCCGTGGTGCCACAGCTCAAAGACATGGCCAGTATGTCCAGCAATCTGTGCCCTGGGGAAAAACTAAGGCCCTAAGATTAGCTCCTCTCCCCCACCCAGAGTTCCTCCAGTCTTCTCCATCTCAATAAAGGACAATCATCTCCCCCACTCAAATTCTAAAACATCCTGACTCAATTTGCATCTCTCCATCCTGCCACCTCCATCCGAATGCCAATCCATCATCTCTGACCTTGACTTTGAAATAGCCTTCCTCTAACTGGCCTCTTGGTTTTCAGTCTTGTCCTGCAATGATCTACTCTTCATACAGTAGCCAGAGGGATCTTTTTTTTTAAATTTTTATTTTAATTCTTTTTTTTTTTTTTTTAAAGTAGGCTCCACGCCTAGTGTGGAACCCAACACAGGGCTTGAACTCAGGACCCTGAGTCAAGACTTGGGCTGAGATCAAGTTGGACACTTAATCCACTGATTTTTCCTGGAACTATCAGCACTGTATTCTTAATACTTTAACATGTAAGTAAGACTTTTCTCAGGGCGCCTGCCTGGCTCAGTTGGAAGAATATGCAACTCTTGATCTCGGGGTTGTGAGTTTGAGCCCCACGCTGGGTGTAGTGATTAGTTAAATGAATAAATAAAAACTTAAAATATTTTTCTCTGCTTAAAACCCTTAATGGTTTCCTATCGTACTTGGAATAAAATTGAACTCTTCACTCTGGCCAAAAGGCCGTGTGATCTAGCCCGTTTATCTCTCTGATCATTATCTTGAACCACTTCCCCCTCACTCACTGTGCCATTCCCACACTGACACCGCAAGCTTCCTTCTACCTCAGGGCCTTTGCATTACCTGTTCCCTCTGCCTAGAATGATCCTTCCCTAGACCTTCACACAGTTGGCTTCTGAAGTCTTGGCTTACGTCACTTTCTGAAGGAAGCCTCAAATTACTCTGGCGTATCAGCCTCGTTTATTTTCTTCACTGCACCTGAATGCTGGGGATTTGGCTGTTAGCTTGTTTACTCCTCCGTCTCCTCCCACAATAACATAATTCCATGAAATCAGAGACCTTATTTTCTTGTTTGCCAGCTCCCAAACCAAGGCCTAGCACACAACACTTGTGTGACAAATACTTGCTGAATGACAGAACAGTGCGCAGAGCTCACAGCAGCGTCGCTAGGACACTCACCGAAACTGGGTCTCCTTGGCCAAAGCCAAGACAGCTGTGGCCCCGCCAAATGAATGTCCCATCACAGCCACGCGGCTCATGTTGATGCTGCCCTGAGGAAAGCAGAGAACTGAACCAAATCAGAAATGTGGGGCTGCTTTTCCAGGAATTCTTCAGAGACAGGAAGTAGAGAGACAATGAGGCAGAAGCACTGTACAGCGGGTGAGGTCCCACCTGTAGGGCAGGAACCTCGTGCCCAACGGAGAGCGGCCGGTCAGCCAATCCCCAGACCAGACAACTTCCTGCAGTCAGGAATTCTGAAAATTATGCTCTTCATCTTCGTTTTTTTTTTTTAAAGATTTTATTTATTTATTTAACAGAGATCACAAGTAGTCAGAGAGGCAGGCAGAGAGAGAGGGGGAAGCAGGCTCCCTGCTGAGCAGAGAGCCTGATGTGGGGCTCAATCCCAGGACCCTGGGATCATGACCTGAGCCGAAGGCAGAGGCTTTAACCCACTGAGCCACCCAGGCGCTCCTCATCTTCATTTTTGTAAGCATACCACCTGTGATGCCTGGACCAGGGAGACAGCTAAATATACGTGAAGAAATGACTGGGCCTAAATGATGGATTCCACACAGATCCATCCGTGCGAGCACGTTAGGAACGAGACCCGTCTCCAACCCCTAGATCCCTGCCTTACAGCCAGACCAAAGGGTGACACAGGAGCCAAGTAGGGGACAGAACGGAAAGCTACTGCTTCCTCCATGTCCCTCTGAAGGCAAGGGCTCCTTGTGTAGAAACAAAGCCAGCTTCTACTTCTTCTGGGTATCTGTCCTGACTTTGATCGGGCAGAATGAGTCGGCTTGCTCTTCCTGCTCTGCAAATATCTATTTCTAGTTGTCCCCAGAAGCCTCTAGGGCACGGTTATGTAAGAAGCCACTGCAGCTGCCTGCCGAAGGGTTCGGGAAATCTCTCTAGCCTTTGTGGTCGAGGCTCTGCCCTGAACCCGTGCTCTCCTCTGCTCTCCCCAGTTTCCACCCTGAGGCTCTGTACCTAAACTCTCTCCCTTTGCTTAGTACCTTCAGACCAACAACTTGGTTGATGGCCACTTCTGCTTTTTTTCATAGGTTAATATATTTATATATGCAGAAAATCAGGAGCATATAAATAAGTCACCCACATACCACATTCCCTTTCCACATAGTGGCCCAACACGTATCCCCAAATGGGTCAGTTTCTTCAGTGTCTTTGGAGAGCTAATGGAGAGCTAATGGAGAACTAATGCACACACAGGTAAATGCAAATCTCTACATCCCCACTCTTTACACAAAACTTACCTTTGTGCATAATAATATTAGTTACAGAAAGACCTTCCTTATCCTTTTTTATAACTACATCTGGTTTCCCCATGGCGTAGATGGTTGGCTGATCACCAAATCTGTCTCTCTTCTTTCCAAACATACAGCTGGACTCTGTTTCCCAGCAGCTGGACATGGCCTTGGGACTGAGTTCCAGCCAACAGGAGGAGCATGAAAGCGGTATCTCCACTTCCAGGCCTGGCCCATAAAAAAGTGTTTTGTACAAACCTCCATGCCCTTCCCCGCTCCTGGCTTAATGCACACAGTGGCCTTGTGTCTCACAAGTGGAAAGGGTAGAGCTATAAGCTAAAAGGAGCCTGGATCCCTAAGTCACCCCTTGCAAGAGGAGCACCCGTTTGCAACTTTGCGTGGGAGAGAAGTAAGTTTGTATTGCATTAAGCTACTGAGATCTGGGACTTGGGAGTTACAGCAATTAGCATTACCAAAACTAATATCCATTGTCCCATAATCTATTCTACTACTTCCCTTACTGGAGAACACTTAGGATATGACCAGTCTTTTGCCGTGACCAACAGCAGTGGAATGAATAACCTTGTACATATTATCAAGCTGCACGTGCAGATATCTACAGAATCCATTCCTAGAACTGGACATCGCTAGGTCAAAGAATATGCCCGCTTGTACGGCTGATAGCTATTGCCAAACTGCTCTGCGTGGGGCAGTCTGTACTCTCACAGGCAACCCAGCACAGTACCTACTTCTCCAGAGCTTTGCCAACAAGAGTGAGTAATCAATTTTTAGAACTTACTCTGCTAGGTGAAAATGTTCTTAGCTGTTTTTATGCCGTCTTTCTCCGAATGATAATCCAACTCAACTCCAGCCTGCCCAAGGCCTGTCGCAGGCTCACAGGCACGCAACCCTGCACTTCAGTGCCCTAAACCCTGTCTGTCTGCTAAGGGCCGGCAGCACACAGCGCTCTGCTGGAGAAGTGCTTCAGATGTCGGCTCCCAGCTGCCCTCCAGGCAGATACCGTGCCCTGGTTGGCCTTGACTCGACCAGAGCCTTTAAAAGGCATTTGCTAATAAGTCTGTGGGGCACACAGCACAGGCTTTGGGATCAAAGGCCCCAGTTTGAAGTCTGACTCTACCACTTACTTGACTGTGTAACCTTGGGTGGATTCTTAGCCTCTTTGATCCTTGGTTTCTTTTTATGTAAAGAGCTAATAATGCTTGCTGCGTTAAGTTTCTGTAAGGGGCTCTTATCATTTTAAGTACTCATACAACAGTAGTTGTTAATTTATATATATGTATATATGTATGTAGGTATGTACATATACAAACACACACACACCCCTCATTCTCATTTGTGCAATGGCATACTACATGGCTATCAAAAAATCATGCCATAGAAAAATATTAACTGGCATAAGAAGACATCCAGACTAGTATGCTAAGTGAAAAAAAAGGGCCACAAAACAGCACGTATTAAATAATAACATTATTGTTTTTAAAAACATAAACATATGTGTTACGCATTTTGAAGGAACTGGAAAGACAAACGTGAACATGGAAAAAGAAAAGCTTTTTTTCTTTATGCTTTTGTGTGATTTCTTGGTTCTCTAAATAGAGCCTGAGCTACTTTTGAACTCAGGTGGGAAAGATGGGGGTGGTTGCTGGGAATGTATCTGCACAGGAACCAGATTCCATAGCTGGGGCAGTTTCTATCCTCCTGGAAGGATTTTTGGGATTCCCTCAAAGGAAAGAATTAGAAAAGAACACAGGTTGTTTGTTGCTCAACAGCCCTTCCTTTGGGGAACGAAACATCTTTCCCTTATCCACGTGGCCCCATAGGGATGCCAGTCCTGGCGCTCAGGTTCCCCTGACCCAGAAGTGGGTGTATAACGTAGGCAGGCCAATCAGAACACCCTGTCCCTCTGGTACAGTGACTGGTCCGGAAGGGACATGTAACCCAAGCAGGGCCACAGCCTTCTCAGAACAGTGGAAGTCACGAGAATCTCTTTTCCTTTTAAATTTGAAGCTGCACTGAAATATAGGCTTGGGCTGCCAGCAACCAGGGTTCCTGCCTAATGGAGAGAGTCCGGTGAGAATGAAGCCCACACGTGGAGTGGAAGGGAGCCAGGAGAAGAAGAGACAGTGCCAGAGCCTGGATGACAATGTCTGAGACCCTGGATCTTGCTACGCTGGCCTAAAGCCAGTCTGCGTTTGGTCTTCTTCACTTATCGGAGCCAACAAATTCTCTTCTGGTTTAAGCCAATGAGTTAGGTTTTTGTTATGTGTAACAGAACAGACCCCAAGGTCCTGATGAACACGTGTGCTCCAGGTGACACCGAATGCTGCCATACCTTCAAGGTCATCAGATCCAGCCCGTCGGGCAAGATATTGAGGACGATCTGCCCAGCAGTGACCTCTTGCAGGATCCTCAACACCCGGGTACACTCGTTCACCCTCTGATGCACCTGCAACACAGAGTCTGGGGGCGGTGGGAACAGAACACAGCACAACCGTTCGGCGAGAAACTCACTCTCTGACAGAGCCGAGGGAGGGTGTGGGGAGAGTGTGCCCACCTAGTGCTCAGCAAGCACCGTGGGCTCCACGGCCTGAGAAAGGCTCAGCAACCTCCCAGCAGCTCACGCAAGCTCCACCTAACAGTCCACTGGCCTCAGCACGGCCCTTCACACTCTGCCCCCCTCCCCATGGGGCGTCAGGAGGACCCAATAAGACAACACATAGGAAAGCACCCTGAACACAAAAGAAATGAGTGTTTTTTTGAATCAACCCAGTACTGGATTCTACTTGCCTATTTATAGCACACATCTATTGTTTTCGTCTGCCTAGCGCTTACCTGCCCCCAATTCACCCACTACCCCTGACTTTTGAGGACTGTGACCCCCTCAAATCTGTCGACCTATTTCTGATGAAAATTTCCCAGGAGCCTCCCTCCAGGATTTTCCATTCTGCAGCCTGAGGCAGGTGTGACGACTGGGGGACGACCCTCCAAGGAGCCCTATTCTCTCCGGTGGTGAGGCCAGGTATATGCAAACTCAGTCTGTCCAGAGCTGTGGTTTTAACCTCGTGGTTCTAAGCCAGTCTGCAGATAAGACCAACCAGCAGAGGAGACAGAGAAGGAAAAAACATCTTGATGGTCGGGCTCCAGTGGTCCCGCCCCTTACATGCAGCCTGTATAAGCCAGTCAATTCTCTGGTTTGCCTACCAAGATTAAATTAAGTTTCTGTCACCTGCAATTGTGAAGAGTCTTGATTACTACCCCCTTTCTCTGCGATGGCAAGCTCAGACCCACTCTGAGTGAGATTTCAGGACAGAAGGTCAAAGTCTTCTTAGTTCAGTCTTCTTAGGGACTGTTAGTTTCAAGAGGACAGGCTTATTAACTCTCCTGCCCCAACACAAGCACAGCCTACCTGGCAATTCCGGACATGGAACTCCTTCTCCCCTTCCTCAATCTGATAGTAAGGGATCCATTCTTCCTCCAGCGGCTCGGGAGTTTGCTGGTTCTCCCCCGGGGCCTGCTTGCAGAAACAGGTGGTCGCGGCGGACCCATCCCTGAAATACACGTGCCGCTGGAGAAACTAGAGGACGCCCTTGAGCTTACTTTTCCCCTTTGCCAAGTCCTCCATTTCCGCCAAGACACTCTAGGTCATCTTTTGGCTAGCAGGGAGAAAGATCTGGGGCCATACACAGGAGAGTAGAAAAAAACACCGATTTTAAAGACTGACTTGGACTTGGGCCCCAACTCAGCTGTGTCCCTTCCAGCAAGTGAACCTCTGAACTTTGGTTTCCTTGTCTTGAAAATGAGTAGAATACCTGCCTTGCATGGTCATTGTGAAGATTAGAAATAATATATGGGTAAGGGACTAGCCTCTATCCCAGCCCACTGGCGGCAGCGGATCCAAGAGTTCATTATGGCCTTCACCCCTCACCTGTGCTCTGGGACAGCAACCACAAAGCCGTGGGAGGCGAGCTCCATGCAGAAGGCTGAATACAGCGTCCTAGAGATGCGAGAGAGGAGAGGAGAGCTCAGAAGAATGGCCCCCTGCAGCCCCCATTCCAACCATGCTCTGCTGGTGACCATCTCAAAAGACTGAAGAGAGGAAGTTTCACCTGCAGCAGCCCTCCCTCCTCAAGGTGCTTTCTCTGGTTAGCAGAGCACTCGTCTCCCCAGGGCTCCAAGAACCATGTGTAAATCCATCCATAGTGTTTTCAAGCCCATACGGACCCTGACTCCTCTCCTCCACCCACCCCCAATATAGTCTGGCTACTCCAACAATTGCATTTTTATTGTCTACGTATTCTTGTAGGTCTCCCAAATTAGCCGGTCAGATCCCTGGAGACAGGCACTCTGGCCCTTTCTGTAATATGCAAATATGCACCTGTAATTTAGCATGTCAATCTGTCCAGCCTCCAACTTCCTAGAAAAAAAGGAATATGGCAGACACTGTCAACTGCCTAAACACTTATTTTTCTGTCCTCCTTAGTAGCAGAATCTGATTATCAGCTGAAGATACAGGCATCAGTACGACATCTGCAGCCTCCCTTGTAGCCAGGTTTATCTATGTGATTAAGTTCCAGCCCAGCAACAGAAATATAATGCTGCCCTCGTAAGTTATTAAAATTCTCTAGTAGATATATTTTTTAAAGTTAAAAAAAAGGTGGAATTAATTTAAATAATATATTTTATTTAATTTAACAGAGCCAAAACATTATCATTTTAACATATAATCAAAATGTCTGAATTAGGGGTGCCTGGCTGGCTCAGTCGGTAGAGCATCTAATTCTTGATCTTGGGGTCATGAGTTTGAGACCAACGTTGGGTATAGAGATTACTTTAAAAAAGAAATGTGGAATTAATGAAATATTTTATTAAGCTCTTTTATCCCATATGAAGTCTTTTTTTTTTTTTTTAAGATTTTATTTATTTATTTGACAGAGAGATCACAAGTAGGCAGAGAGGCAGGCAGAGAGAGAGAGAGAGGAGGAAGCAGGCTCCCTGCTGAGCAGAGAGCCTGATGCGGGACTCGATCCCAGGGCCCTGAGATCATGACCCGAGCCGAAGGCAGTGGCTTAATCCACTGAGCCACCCGGGTGCCCCCCATATGAAGTCTTTGAAATCCAGTATCTTATAATTCAGTACATCTCAGTTTACACCAGCCATATTTGCTATGTTCAACAGCCACATGTCGCTAGAAGCTACTAAAATGAACAGAGCAGTTCTAGTCATTGGGATGTAACCGACGATGCTGGATAGAACTTTCAAGGAAAAAAAAAAGGTCTCAGGAGAGTTCTCCCTTCCTATTGCCTGGAATGTAGATGAATGGCAGGAGCTACAGCAGCCCCCTGACATCATTAGACAGCCTTAGAAATGGAAGCCACATGGGGCAGAGCATGATAAAAGAAGTCTGGTTCTCCGGTAACTCTGTGGAAGTATCATATCATCTCTGTCTACCACTAGCTTTCTTTGAGCTGAGCAAGAAACACATTTCCTATTGCTTAGGCCACTACTCTTGGTGGTTTTTCTATTATTACAATTTGCCTGGATCTTAACTGATTCAGAAAAGTCAGGAAGCACAGACATTACATTTCCTTTCACCCTCACTTTTCCAAGGGAGGCAGACCCAGAGAGATCTCTGATCCCTTCCCAGTTCAGACTGTGTAACCTTCAGCAAGCCCGCCCTTCAGAGCCTGTTTGGTCATCTGCAAGATACACACCCCCACCGCCTACCTCACAGGACTGTGTGGAAACCAAAGGAACAATAGCACATTGCAAGCAGGGAACGTTTAAATGCACATACTGCTCCCTGGGGTGGGAACACATAGGTCTGGAGGGATTTCAGATCCTGAATTAACCACTTATGCAACAGGAGGAAACCAGGTCCCTTTCCCTCCCTGCCCTTTGGCTTGGAGTTTCATTCTGACGAATGAAGAATATTTATAACTGGGTCACCCAGGTCGATTGACGTGCGAAGTCTCAATACAGATTCTTAAAAGACCACTCTCCAAAGTCATATGCTCACCTGCTCTCTGTATAAAATACCTGTGAGCTTAGGAGAGAATGTTTCTGACTTCTTTTTCCTGCTAGACTACAGTCCTTCTGACGGAAGGGACTCTATCTTACTCACTAATGAGTAAACAACCCCAGCACAGGCCCAGCAAATGGCAGGTACTAAATTTACTGAATAAGAAAGCGACACTGAAAACCATCCACTTGCCTTACGGCCTCATCTCTGCATTTACTCTCCTGCCACGGGCTACAGTTACGAGAGACCATGTTCGGGCTCCCCAAGTGGATGCAATTCCTTGACTTATCTCCAGAGGACTCACCTTCTTCTTATGCCATGTACTTGCTAAATGAATGAAAACCTAGCAAAACATAGCCCTTGCATTCACTTAATAAATATTCATTGGGAAACTACTACTTTCCAGGTATTGTCCTAGGTACCGGGAGAGAGAGAAGACAGATATGGTTCCTGCCTTCATGGAGCTTACAATCTAGTAGGAAAGACAGACCTTAAAGAATAATCACGTGTAATTCATTCACTACAATTGTGTTAAGTACTGGAAAGTACAGGTTATCTTATGAAAGCACATTATGCAGACACCTGGGTGGCTCAGTGGGTTAAGCCTCTGCCTTCGGCTCAGGTCATATCTCAGGGTCCTGGGATCGAGCCCCACATCCAGCTCTCTGCTCGGCAGGGAGCCTGCTTCCCCACCCTCCCTCTGCCTACTTGTGATCCCTCTCTGTCAAATAAATAAATAAAATCTTTTTAAAAATTTAAAAAAATAATAAAAATAAAAAGAAAGCACATTATGGGAAAACTTTAACTAATATAATACAGGGGTCAGGATGGGTTTCCCTAAGAAAGCCACATCCAAACTAAGACCTTGAGGGAGATCTGGAATTAGCCAGGCAAAGATGAAGGGGTGGGGAGCACAGGAGGAAGAGAGGAGCAGAACAGCAAATATTCCAGGCAAAGGGAACAGCCACAAAGCACAGAACAGATAAAAATCTGAAGCAGAAAATAACGTAGTGCCTTTATGTAAGTGAAAGAAGGTCAGTGTGTCTAAGAGAGCTGGAGTGGGGCAAGTAGTAAGAAACAAGGCTGGAAACTATCTGGGACATAAATTCAGCTACGACCCTGACAGGAGTTGAAATTAAGTTCAAAGGGCTACTGTAGAGACGAAGTAGGGAAGCGATATTCATTCATTTATTCAACAACTATTTACTGAGCACCTACTATCTGCCAAGCACTGCTCTAGGTATTGCAATTAAAGGTCATATTTGCTTTTAAAACAGATCTCCCTAGGGTAGCGCCTGAGTGGCTCAGTGGGTTAAAGCCTCTGCCTTAGGCTCAGGTCACGATCCCAGAGTCCTGGGATCAAGCCCCACAGCGGGCTCTCTGCTCAGCAGGGAGCCTGCATCCTCCTCTCCCTCTGCCTGCTTCTCTGCCTACTTGTCAAATAAATAAATAAAATCTTTAAAAAAAAAAAACCAAAAAACAAAAAACAGATCTCTCTCAGAGCGCCTGGATGGCTCAGCTGGTTGAGCTCAGGTCAGGATTTCAGGGTCCTGGGATCAAGCCCCATGTCGGGGTCCACATTCAGCAGGGAGCCTGCTTGAGATTCTCTCGCTCCCTCTCCCTCTGCCCCTCCCCTGCTCATGCTCAGTCTCCCTCTCTCTCACATAAATGGATAAATCTTTAAAAAACAAAACAAGGGACCCCCCGGGTGGCTTAGTTGTTAAAGTGCTTGCCTTCGGCTCAGGTTATGATCCCATGGCCCTGGGATCGAGCCCTGCATCAGGGTCGCTGCTCAGTGGGGAGCCTGCTTCTCCCTCTCCCTGCTCCCCTGCTTGTGTTCCCTCTCTTACTGTCTCTCTCTCTGTCAAATAAATACATAAAATCTTTTTTAAAAATTAAAAAATAGGGGCGCCTGGGTGGCTCAGTGGGTTAAAGCCTCTGCCTTCGGCTCAGGTCATGATCCCAGGGTCCTGGGATCAAGCCCCACATCGGGCTCTCACCTCAGCGGGGAGCCTGCTTCCTCCTCTCTCTCTCTCTGCCTGCCTCTCTGCCTACTTGTGATCTCTGTCTGCCAAATAAATAAATAAAATCTTTAAAAAAAAATTTAAAAATTAAATAAATAAAAATAAAAAACAAAACAAACAGATCTCCCTGGCTACAGTGTGGACAATGGTTTGGGGAGTGGGAAGGCAAAAACAAACACATTTACGACGTGTGACACTCTAGGATATAAACTAGACTTACATGTTGATAATAAACATAGAGACAGAATAGTCACAAAGTTAAACAGCAACATATGAATTATGGTTATTAAGCTACTTAACACAGGGGCGCCTGGGTGGCTCAGTGGGTTAGGCCTCTGCCTTCGGCAAGGGTCGTGGTCTCAGGGTCCTGGGATCAAGCCCCACATCGGGCTCTCTGCTCAGCAGGGAGCCTGCTTCCCCCCTCTCTCTCTGCCGGCCTCTCTGCCTACTTGTGATCCCTGTCAAATAAATAATCTTTAAAAAAAAAAAAAAAAGCTACATAACACAGCAAGGTGGGGAAATCAGTCTCCACAGGAAGACTTCTGAATGGATACCGCCTTACAAACATCAGGCAGAGTTTCCCGAAGTCTGGTAAAAGAGACCTTACAGTTCCCCAGCCTGTGTCCTCCACGCAGAGAGCGAGCACTGTGTGTACACGCTTGCTAGGTGCCAGCCTAACTGAACCCTCACACACCACGCAGAGGATATCTAGGCCCCAAGAGTTATACGGCTGTCCTGTGCTCCCATGGGGTACAGCCTCCCAGGTTGGGCCCTGCACTGCAGGCGTGCAGGGAGTGGGCCCGTGTCACCACTACGTTGGCGCCATGGCAGAGCTGTTCCTCCACAGGCACTGAGGGAACGAGTCTGGCTGTAATACTCCAGCTCCTTCTAAGACTCTGTGCTGTTTATATGGGAAGAGAGCTAGAAGTATTTATTTATAAATGTTTTTTTATTTTTAAATATAATATAAACATGTAATCAATTAGGTCTGCTTATTCATTTATCCATGCAGGAACATGAGACATGAAGGATGGGAAGACCCTGGAAAGACCCCACCAGGTGACAGAGGCTTAGGGACGGCCTTCATGGGATGGTGGACCCAGTGCTGGCAGATGGAAATGTCTGTCTCTCTGCCCTCTGAGAGTAAGTGAAGACTCAGCAGCTGCCATGAGTTAAGGGCTATGACAAGGTCTGAGGGACAGAAGCTCTTACCTGAAGGCTCCCATGCCATGGGAGAAGATGATCAGAGGGTATCCGGAGTCCTTTGTCTTAAAGGGGCCATTCCAGCTAACAGGCAGGCGACAAGATCCTAGCAGAGACAGGTCCTATATTATCTCCGGCTGCCCTGAAGCCGGAATCCCAGGGGTAGTCTGGGCAAAGGCATGGGTGGGGACATGTGCCCTCCACACTGGAGAAGCACCTTTTACCCCTGAGCAGTCCAGGACAATCAATCACCTTTACTTTCCCCCTTTCTTCCTTAGAAAGTACAAATATGATAGAATATGGGAAGATAAATGCAAAGAAGTACCAAACAACTATGGGGTAAACCCCTGAGATGCCAAGGCAGTTGACTAGCGTTCCTCATGGTGGGGCCTTTGGGGGAAGTGGATGATTCAACGTGCCTTTACCCAGAGAGAGGAGAGCTAAGGAGAAACTTTCAATGATGAAGTGTGGATTTGAACCCAGGACAACATAGCTCTGTAACCAATGTATGTAATCCTCTCCTAACTCTCCACACCACACCAGCTCACGCATGTCCCACTACAAGAGGGCTGGACGATGCCAGCTTTACTGTGCCTGCCTAGGGATCTCCCAGGAACAGAACTAAAAAGCTGGGAATGTGGAGTGGCGGGGGGAGCACTTACCCACAGCCAAGCTGAACAGCAACCCCCCCCAGCGCTTGTTAAAGCGCAGGTAATTGGCCAGGCCCATGCAGTACTCATAGCGGGGAATCCAAAGCGGCTGCTCTGGGGTCTCTTCTGCCTCTTGGCAGGGGTAGAAGAGTCGAAAGAAACTTCCCTGTAGGAAAGAAGAGAGCAACTGCTCAGAGCAAGAACCCAAGCCTGGTAAGATTTCTCAACAGGCACACTCGGGGTATGTGGGCTACCAGCAAAGCAAGCCAGCAAAATGGGGCACTTAAGCGTCCGTTCATATACCTGAATTTTACATCCAGAAAATCCGGAAAGCAGCAATTTTATTTTTAGCATACATGTAAGGCTTATGTTATTTCAAACAGCCGACTGTATTTTCAATGACATCTGGGGGGCACTGAAATATTTTCAGTGCTTGGATCAGAGAGATTTAAATCTGGCCCTGAGCCCAGGCCTGGAGGAGCCCTGGGAATGAGATTAGCCCTCATGCTGGTGGGGCAGCATCTGAGGTCACCCAGACCCGTTCTCGAGGCTGGCCCTTAGGAAGCAGCAACACACTCATTTCACATGGGAGTGGGTGACAGGTCAACAGGAAGTATGTGCCTCTCACAAGGGAGAGGGGGAGTCCAAGGGCCGGCAGAGAAGCACTTGGGAACTGGTGGAGGGAAAGTCCAGAACCAAAGCAGGAGGGAAAATGGATAAAGGTAGGAGAAGAGGAGGAGGAGCAGGTCTTCCTACCCAGTTTGGAGAGTAAAAGGCCAACAAGCACACGGTCCACTGCTCCCCCCTCACACCCTCAGGTTGGGACGAGACTGGAAACCTTTCCAGATTGGGCATCTGCTCTCAAGACTGGGCAGGGGATCTGAGAGCTGCCTTTGGAGCTGGAGCCCCTGCCTTCCTCCTAGATGGCAAAAGAATCCATCTCTGGCTACTGAGAGGTTTCTAATGGGAAAGAGAAAGAAAAAGGTCAGGAAAGACAGACCTGGGGGCTCTATCAGCAAATCCAGCTCTAACTCAGAGAACCACACCTGTTAGGTTGGCTACTGACAGGGCACAGAAGCTGCGGGGGAGATGTGAGGTGATGGACCTGAAGCACTTACCTGGCGACCCTGTCCCTCCATCACATCCCCGCAGCCCACGAGGTGGGGTCCTGTGACAGGCGGGAAGCCCACGGACTGGTTCACCCCCATTTTATCACCAGTTGAAACAAACAACGACCTGGGCAGAGCCGGACTTGATGGCTGAGGGCGGAACACAGAACAGCCTCTTGCTGGTTTCCTTTTAGCTTCCTGTTGCTTCTATGTGTTATCTGTCACCCGTGTCCCATGCTCCTTATCACCCCATCTCCCTGCCAGGGACTCACTCCGTCTTCCACGTCATCTACTTTGCTACATTGACTTTGCCAAGGTTTAAGGGCTGCTTTGTTGTTGCTAGGAGCAGGGTGAATGGACAGTTGGGGAAAAAGAGCCCCCATGCTCCCCAAAACCTACTCGCAAAGGGACGCCTGGGTGGCTCAGTCACGGGAGGGTCCGACTCTTGGTTTCAGCTCAGGTCATAGTCCCAGGGTCATGAGATTAAGCCTCGTGTCAGGCTCCACACTCAGCAGGGAGTCTGCTTAAATTCTCTCCCTCGGGGCACCTGGGTGGCTCACTGGGTTAAAGCCTCTGCCTTCAGCTCAGGTCATGATCCCAGAGTCCTGGGATCGAGCCCTACATCTGGCTCTCTGCTCAGCGAGGAACCTGCTTTTCCCCCTCCCTCTCTGCCTCCCTCTCTGCCTACTTGTGATCTCTGTCTGTCAAATAAATAAATAAATAAGATTCTCTCCCTCTCCCCGGTCCCTCCCCTCACTCGCACTCTAGCTCTCAAATAAATAAAAATTCTTAAAAAAACAACAACAACAAAACCCACTGCCAAGTGTTTACTTAGCACCTACCACGTGCCCAGCATGGCAGTAACTTCTTCAGAGACTGTAACCCAGACTGTGACCTCATGAGGCCAGGATAAGGTGCATTACTCGCTCTGTGTCAGCACTAAGCTAAGCTCCTTCCATACAGTACGTTATTTCATTCTCTCCACAACTCTCTGAAGAAGGGCCTGTGAAGACCCTGTTTACAGATGAGGAAACTGGCTGAATAACTCTCCCATGTGATCCTGCTTCCCGGCCGCAAAACCAGGTCTGTCTAATCCAGACCTAAGCTCTTAGGTCTACTTGGATCTACTGATCCTGCTCATGGGGGAGACTCAGTTACCTGTCTACACAAACACAGACCCAAACTACTATAAAAGTAGCACTTGGAGGGTACCCCGGTGGCTCAGTGGGTTAAGCCTCTGCCTTCGTCTCAGGTCATGATCTCAGGGTCCTGGGATTGAGCCCCGCATCGGGCTCTCTGCTCAGCGGGGAGCCTGCTTCCTTCCCTCTCTCTGCCTGCTTGTGAGGTCTCTATCAAAAAAATAAAATCTTTAAAAAAAAAAAAGTAGCACTTGGGCTGTGCCTTGAGGTAGATTTAGAGGCAGGGGAGAGGAAGGAAAGCATTCCTACACAGGACAGAAGGGCAGAGATGGAGAAGAGCAGGATGAGGCAGCAGATCAGGCAGCAGCCTCATCAAGCAGGTGTGCGTGTTCCTAACTAGCAAACATTCCTATAACTCGGCTGCTCCCTAAATTGGGGTCAATGCCGTTGCTCTCTCCCTCTTCAATCTAATCATCCCCAGCATCATCATCCTCACGACACTTACGGAGTCCCAGGAATTACATTATGTTCTTTAATACATCATTAATTGAAAAACTGAGATGAGGAAACCAATGCTTGGCAAAGTTCGGTAACTTCTCCAAGAACATCTAGCTAACAGAGCCAGAATTTGATCAGGGGCAATGTGGCTGTTAACAGTGGAGAATATGGCCAAACTTCTCCATATCCATTCTATCCTGCCCTCCTATGCAGTATCCCTGTGGCTTGGGTGGGTCTGACACCCCTTCCCTAACTTCTAGATTTGGGCCTTAGTTGACCTGAACCGATCAGCCCTTGGTGTCCCCTGGTCCGTCTCTGGATGAAGAGTGGGCACATAACATAATTGGTCCATTCAGAGTAAAGCCCAGGACCTTGATGGTTGAAGATGGAAATGTTCTTTCTTGTTCTGAACTACAGTGATAAGCAGGTATGAAGCCTTGAAATGTTGCAGCTGCTTTGCTACCTCGAGGATGGAGCTACCCACGGAGGACAGCAGCGCAGAGAGAATCAGACAAATGGAGTCATATCTGTGAAGACATTAAGAATCTCTAGATCAGACACTACCTGAAAAACCTGACCGGCTTCTGGACTTTCTAGTTACATGAGTCAGTAAGTCCCTTTTTTGATAAAACCAAATGACTTTAGATTTCGATTGCCTGAACCAAAAGCATCTAAACCAATACACTGAGTCCCAGACTCACATTTTTTGTCACTACACTATTCTGCTTTTTTTAAGATGTTCTGGAATGGATCAGAAAGTTCAAATCCAAGTGTGTCTGGGCAAGAAGAGACCTTATAAGCCACTTCTATCAATCCTTGCCACAATCATCTCCAACCCCCACCCCCACTACATACAGGTCCTCAGAAGTTAAGTGAGCTGCACATCACAAGCAGAACTATTATCACACATTCAACTCCTGGCTGCCAACTTCCAAATGTCTGGTCCAATGGCAAACCCCAAATAACCAAAAATCTGTATGTCATTCTGTTTAACATAGGAATATAACAAATGATTTTCTTTCTACTACTCAGTAGTAGTAGAATGCAGTTCTTTTTTTTTTTTTTTTTTAAGATTTTATTTGTCAGAGAGAGAGAGTACATACAAGCAGGCAGAGAGGCAGGCAGAGAGAGAAGAGGAAGCAGGCTCCCTGCCAAGCAAGGAGCCCAAGGCAGGACTCAATCCCAGGACTCAGGGTCATGACCTGAGCCAAAGGCAGCAGCCCAACCAACTGAGCCACCCAGGCGTCCCAATGCAGTTCTTTTTAAAAAGAAACTAAGCTCAGGGCGCTGGGGTGGCTCAGTGGGTTAAGCATCTGCCTTAGACTTGGGTCACGACCCCAGGACCCTGGGATCAAGCCCCGCATCGGGCTCCTTGCTAAGCAGGGAGCCTGCTTCTCCCTCTCCCTCTGCTTGTGCTCTCTTGCCCTCTCTCAAATAAATAAAATCTTAAAAAAGAAAGAAAGAAAAGAAGGAAGGAACTGAGGTCCGGATGCAGTCAGTGGACTGGCTAGCCAGAGAAGCTGAGTATGTGCTACTTAGTCTCACACCCTGACCTTTTCCCCCTTGCTGCTGAGGGCACACACACGGAAGACATAGGCAGGGGCGCATGACACAGGGCACATGACAATGAAGCAGCTCCGAGTTCTAGCTGCCAAAAAAGAGGGGCAGAAAAGAGGATCTGATGCAGGAGTTCTGAGAAAAAAAGCACACTTCTGTAGCTTGGCAGCGGAGGGCAGAGGAAGATGGCAAAGGTTGACTTTTCAAGTAGAAGAAAGTGCGTGAGCCAAGGCACAGGGGTAAGAAAGCACATGGGAGAAGAAAAAGGTACAACGGACATGGAGGCTAGCGGTCTCTCTAGTGCTAGACAAGGAGCTTGAATCTACTCCTCAAATGAGTGATATTAAGTCTGAAGGAGCCAAGTTTGAGCCCAGCTCCTTTGCTGCATAGGTTTTTTACTTTGGGCAGATCCTCTGATCTCACCGAGTCTGATTCCCCATGGGTACAATGGAAAACTATCCATCCTCGTAGGGTTGCTAGGGAGGTGAAATGAAATAATGCATTTAGAATACCTCAATAGTACCTGGCTCTCTCGAAGTATCCAGGAAGTACTTGTTGACTGAGTGGAAAGTAGAAACAACGGATCTGGCAAATGAGTGGATTTGGCAAGGCAAGGGAGATGGACGAGCCAAAGAGGAGTCAGGTTTCAGGACTGGGTGACCAGAATGATAGTAACTTCTTCTGTGAAGACATTTCAGTCTTATCCCATATAGAGAAGAGTGCTTCGGATAGAAATCAGGATGAGTGGAGTTTAAAACTGCTGAACAGAAAGGACTAGACTCTCTAGTAGTCCTGGAAAGTTTTTGGGAGAATCTTAACTAAGTTTGGAAATAAATACAAACTAAAGCTAACTGGCCAGAGTTACACAAAAATGAATCTGCTTTCTCTGGGCTCACATTAACTGATGCCCAAGGAAGTAGGGAGACGGGAAAATCCTATTTTGCCCAAGAGACACACACCCACAGTATCCAGAGTCCTTTCTAATAAATGTCATGTAATTTTCCAAGGAAATCGGCCCAGGTGTGTCTACCTTCTTTTGCTCAGCTCAGCCACACAATTCATGGTGGTGCCTGTCTAGAAGTCTCTCCACCCATGCAAGCCTGCCCCATTCATGAGGGCCCACAGAAATCTCTGGATCTCGGTGCTTTAACAAGTCCTTCCACCTGCCCTCCTCTCCACTCTAAGCACTGTCCGAATCCCTCACCTGCTAACCAATCACCGGCTGCCTTAAGATAGCTCTTGGGTAATTACCTATTCTAGCAGTTTTCAATCAGTGACTTGCCTACAAGTGGCCCAAGTAGAACCTAGTTCAGAGGTTCCTGAGTCTACTGTCACGGTCACCTGGGAAACTTTCAAAGATACAGATTTTAGGGTCCTCATTCCCAGAGGTCAGTTTGTTTGTTTTTTTAAGATTTTATTTATTTGACACAGAGAGAGGGACAGTGAGAGAGGGAATACAAGCAGGGGGAGTGGGAGAGGGAGAAGCAGGCTCCCCGCTGAGCAACGATCCCAGAACCCTGGGATCATGACCCAAGCCGAAGGCAGACGCTTATTGACTGAGCCACCCAGGTGCCCCCAGAGGTCAGTTTTTGAAAACTTGCCATGTTTCTCACCAGCAAGGTTTGAGAACCTCTGGCCCAGAGGACACATAGGACTTTTTATTCAGAGATGCACCCACGCAACAAACACCTGCTGGAGTATACGATGTTCCAGCCCACCATTTTATGGTAATGAAATGAAGATGGATTTCACTGGGTTCAATCCCCGTGGCTACCTAGAACCATGTTCCTGCCAATCACAAGGCTTAATGTAGTGCCCTGCATAAAACTGGTCTCAATAATTAACTTATTCAATGAATCTGATTTAATTTTTACACAACTTATGCCTCATTTCTTTGGATACACATACTATACAAAGGTTGTGTTTTATACTTCTTTGTAGGCCGAACCATCTACCCTCATGCTTTCCTTATGTAGTAAGGACCCACTAAATGCTCCTTTACTTGGCTTTGATTTAAATCCTCTCAATTCTCCTTTTTTTTTAATCCAAAAATAAGGCTATACGGCATAGTGTAAAAAGAAAGGCTTTGGTGACAGTCTGAATTCCAGTTCTTAAATGGCTGTGATCTTGAGCAAGATCCTTAAATTCTAAGCCTCTGAGAATTTATCCATACGGCAGAAATAACAGCACTCATGAGGTTGTCGATGATTAAATAATGAATAGAAAACACCTGACACGTAGAAGGCACTATAACCAGAGATAGTAACTCTAACTACAGTAATTACTACAGCATGCCCTCTCTAAGCCTAAGTTCTTTATAAGTAAAATGAAGCCACTTCAAAAGTTAAATTTAAATAAGAAAATTGAGAAAATATATAAAACTTGGAAAAAATACATAAATAAGAAAAGTGCTATATTGCCTAAGGCTTGGTACATTTTAAGTGCTCACAAAATGTTAAAAATTAATTAACAATGCTATTTCATCATACCTGGCCAAGGGGCCAAGGTCTCTTTCATCTTTTCTGTATTAAACCCTTTGGCAAAGTGGAACCTTTCTCCCAGCCTTCTTGAGTCTGAAACACCCCAGCAAAAATCAGAGTGTACTAAAAAGGCCCACAAGAGCCCAGGAGATGGACAGTACCTACAATGCAGCTGTCCCATCTCCTGCCGGGATCCTGTTTCCAGCGAGCAGAAACCAGCCACCCTTTTGCCAACTGTGTGGACTTTCCATTACTGGCTATTTCAAGACAAAGTCCAAGAGAAGCACTTCTCTGGGGCTTCCTTTCAGACAAAGCTCTCTGGGGACTTAAAGCTCCTCTGACCTTTGGTCTCTGGAGGAAGTGAGGAAATATCCTGCTCTTAGAGAATGGAGACACCAAGCATTCAAGGGGTTAGCTTGAGCAACAAGTGGGCAGAGAGAGAAAAGAACCCAAGATAAAGGGACGCCTGGGCTCAGTGGGTTAAAGCATCTGCGTTTGGCTTAGGTCATGATCCCAGAGTCCTGGGATCCAGCCCAGCATTGGGCTCTCTGCTCAGCAGGGAGCCTGCTTCCCTTCCTCTCTCTCTCTGCCTGCCTCTCTGCCTACCTGTGATCTCTGTCAAATAAATAAATAAAATATTAAAAAAAAAAAAACCACACACACACACACACACACCAAGATAAGAGTGTTCCAGAGCATTAATAATTCTAATAAAAATAACCTCTCTGGCTTGTGGAAGCTTTACAGTTTAAAAAGCCCTTTCACACATATTAGCTTATTGGCTCCACCGAAGAGCCTCAGCCTAAGACTGACAGAGCAATTGCCATTTCCATTTTGTAAACGAAGAACGGAGTCCCAGGGAGATTGCTTGATTTGCCCAAGATCCAAGGTCACAAAGCGAGTGAGCTGCGGGAGGGCGGGCAGATCCTAGGTCTGCTGAGTCCAGGGCTCTTCCACAGTGACAAGAACGAATGGCGACCCTTCTTCTACTAGCATGAAACAGCGGGAAGTGAAGGGAAGAGAGAAGCACACGGGGGGCGTGGGGCATAAAGACGCCCAGGTTTCAGGGACGTCACGTTGTGTGCTCCGGGTGGGGCTGTGGGGTCTGGGTCCTACCACCAGAGCTCAGGGTGGGATTCCAGGGGCGCCGGGAGTGAAGGCGCGAGATGATAGTGGGAGCATTAAGGGTGAGGGTAGATACTGGAAGTGTCTGAAGAGGAAACAGGAAAGGATGAAGGATTAATGCGGAGTTACTGGGATTGAGACAAGTAGCCCCCAAACCCGGCTGGAGGATGAAAAAACCAGTTGATAGCTCAGGTCAGAACAAGAGCTTTCTCCAAGCCAACTTACCCAGCCAAGTTGAACCCTCAGAAGTAACCGAGAAGGTCAACTCCACCGAAACCAGAAACTACTCCGAACCCCGTGGCCCTTTGGTAGGTGTAGTTTTCAGAACTCATCATTGACCCTTAAAAGCACTCCCCTCCGCTCTGCCTGGAACTACAACTTCCGAGGTGCATCGCGCAAGATTGCGCATTGCGATCCTTAAAACTACAATCCCCAGAGTTCCACGCGTCCCCTCATTGTTGAATGATACCGCCCAAGTCTCGGGGTGCCGCGCGATTCCTCCCCCTGGTGGTCTGAGGAGTTACCTCCACGATTACAAGACTCGAGCGGAGGGTTACCGTTTATAGTTCCGGTTAGTAACCCTCCGCCTCACCATTCCTCAAATAATTCCCGGGCGTGCCTACAAATGCCCATGGCTTCGTCTTATTCTCAGGGAGTGCGGGGTTTGAGGGAAGTTATGATCCTTTTTTGATTTACCCCTACTTTGCACTCTGTGAGAATATGAAACTGATCATTCAAGTTAAGCGCACATTTTCTACCAACCGATACTTGTTGACACTTGGGATTTTCCATTGTCCTTCTTCAGAAACTCACCGACAGAGAACAGGGAGGACCCGGAGGGATCACTGCCCCCACCCCCTCCAGCCCAGCCCTTTCAGCCGTCATCCGTTTGCAGCCCCTATGCTGGTTCTTAGGGACACGGTGGTGAACAAGATACTGTCCCTAGCCTCAAATGAAATCACAATCTAGCGGAGGATTCCGACAGATGAAGAACTACACCACCAGCGATACGTGCTCTAATAGGGGAAACAGAGGGGTTTGTGGGAACCCTGAAAGGAGGCACCCGCGCAGGCTTCGGGGAAATGGAACAGTGACAGAAAGCTTCTTAGAGATCTTAGAGAGACACTAAAATTGAGAGTTGAGGGAATAAGACTTAGCCAGGAAGGGGATTGTGAAGAATGCCTTATATTCAGGAGGGATGGAGCACAGGAGTGTGAGGGAGGGAGTGGAGAGACACCTGAGGAGGTAGGTAGAGCCACGTCCTCGAGTCTTGTAAGCTTCTGTAAGACATTTGGATCATTCAAGCGACTTAAAAACTTTCAACACCTTCCAACTACCTACCGAACGAGGTCCCAATTTCAACAACAAACGAGGTTTGTTGAGGTTATAGAAACAGCAGATACAGGCAAAGCGTCTGGGAGACTCAGAAAGGGAAAGAACGTGAGTCTCATCTTTGCTTGGGGTCTGGGGGATTTGCTGACAATCATGGTACCATGCACGTGTCCTCTCAGGCATCCAGGAACTGGTCAAAACAAGGACAAGGTCCAGATGTCCATCCCAGGTCACGCATTCTCGGAGCTAGGGGTCTTGGTGTTGAGATTTCTAGCACCAGGGGTTTGGAATATGCACAAGATGGCTCTGCCTAGTAGTTCCTTAGATATTATCTATTGTGCTGGAAGGCTCCAAAGATATCATTAACTCTTTGTCCCTTACAAGGGACAAAGTATGTATGTCCCTTACAAGGAGGACATACATACAATAAGGCATGTGTAGGGCAGGGGTGCAGGTCTAGCAAGAATAGAAGCCCAAAAAGGAACAAAGGAAGAAAAACAAAAACAAAAAACAGCTTTTTCTCTCATGGGGTCCCTTCGGTTTCCGTGCCTCGGCTTGGCATTGGAGATCCTCCTCAACCTGGCCCCCCACTACTTCCCCAGAATTGTCGCTCACTCTGACAGGGATGTCCTCTCTTCTGCTCTGCCTCTAGCTACCTTCACCTCCTCGTCATTTTCGAGATGGATTTGGGTTTTGTTGTTACCTCCACGCCTTCACTCATGCTCTTCCCTCCACTAGATGCTGCCAGGTGGCCGGTCTGATCCTGTTAGGCGCTCCTCCCCATGAAGCTTCCCTGATTCCTCTCGTCTCAAAGGACCTCTGCCCCGGCCAGTTGCTGGGATATTTGTGCGCACCTTTCATGTAGGGGCTTAGCAAGAAATTGTGAGTCTCCGAGGTCAGGTGCTGAGTCCTACAGGTGATCCCCACCCACCCCCACCTCACATACCCTCAAGTGTCCAGAGTCCCTGTTTTGGTCTTTTTTAGGTTCACCCCTGCTGCTGACTCTGTCAATGCCACCATCCTTCCAGGAGCCACGATAAAGTCATCAGGAAAGAGTGACGGCGCACTGCACTGTGGTAATTAAGCCCCGGATTTAATTAAAGCTATGGTTAGTGGCGGTGACAGCAGAATGAGAAAAGCGTAGCACACATCGGAGAATGCTCTCTTTGGCATTAATTAATTGGTGCTGTGCACCTGGCCCAGAACACCAAGGATCAACCAGAGTCCCCAGTCATGAAAGGAGCAGCTGGGGTCATTCCTCTGTCTCCTACTCCCAGACCAGCCTATGATGCGGGTATTTGCTGGGCAACTGCCTTTTAAGCTTCCCAGGGACAGGGACATCACAGCCTCCTTTGTCACTGACTTTGTCACTTTGTCATTGAAGATCTGTCTTGGGCCCAAACTCCTGTTGCAAAATAGAATGCTCGAGTTCAATTGCATTTCCTTCCAGTCTCGTCTTTTTTGGGGATAAACATCCCAAATGCTTTAAATTTTTAGCAAGCAGCTGATGTTCCAGGCTTTCAGCATAAATCCTGCCCTCCAACAGCCCAAGGTTCCCTTCCAGTTGGCTACCATCCCACTCCAGCCTTCTCCTTGTTGCTAAGTTACTAACTTGATATTTAAGTGACTAGTTTGGATCTCCTGTTCTCTGCACTACCTGCCAAAATTGTTGGACAATACTTTTTAAAATCAAACTGTAATATATATATATACAATAAAGTGTGTAAAGTGCACTACTAGTAAGTGGACAGCTTAATCTTTTTTAAAAAAATATTTGACGTAGGTTGGGACACCTGGATGGCACAGTCAGTTGGGTGTCTGATTCTTGGTTTCAGTTGAGGTCATGATCTCAGGGTCATGAGATTGAACCCCAAGTTAAGCTCTGCACTCAGCTTGGAGTCGGCTTGTCCCTCTTTCTCTCCCTCCGCCCCTTCCCCCCTCACATACACACAAGCTCTCTCTCTCTCTCAAATAAATAAATAGGGGCACCTGGATGGCTCAGTTGGTTAGTATCCACCTCTTGGTTCCGACTTGGACCATGATCTGGGACTCCTGGGATTGAGCCCCCAAAGAGAGTCAGGAATCCATGCTCAGTGGGCAGTCTGCTTGAGGTTCCCTCTCTCTCTCCCCCTCTCCCTCTGCCATTCCTTGTCCTGGCACTCTCTCTCTCTCAAATAAATAAATCTAAAAAAAAAACCAAAAAACAGGTGTAATCATCACTTAGTTTGAAATGTGGAACGTTTCGAGTACTTTGAATGGTTTCCTCATGTCCCTTCCCTGTTAATAACCGCTCATCCCCCAGAGGGAGCCACTCTTTTCCTATCGTTATCAACTAGTTTTGGGTGAGCAACACTTTGGAACTTCTGACAGTGATGTTTTACACTCAATGACCCCTCAATGGGTGATACTTGTGTTAACGCCACTGCAGTAAAAGAACACCGGAAACAGAGCTGTAATTGAATAAATTGCGTACTCATTGTAGTGAGGGAAAGCAGACATGATCGAGAACTGTGGGCCATCTCACAAAGAGGGTATCAGAAAAGACTTGGAATTGGGGCTTTTGTTAGATGATTTCAGGGACTGTTGAAGGAAGCAGGGCTTTGCTCTGGATTGGGTGCTATGCAAAATTAGGGGTAGTTCTATGACTGGGGATCTTAATTTTATCTAGAAGGAGGGAAGAATTCACTAAGGTGACAGCTGTCGTTAGTAAGAAGCAATAGTCTCTTTTATTACCCAGGATAGGGGATGGTTGGTGTTTCTTGTAGCTTGGACAATGTTCAATGTTCATTTTGTCTATATTCAGAGGTGATTATGGAATTGTCCTGTTTGCATCTTTTTAAAAAGATTTTATTTATTTGACAGAGAGAACAAGCACAAGCAGGGGGAGCAGCTGAAGGAGAAGGAGAAGCAGACTCCCCGTTGAACAGGGAACCTGATGTGGGGCTCGATCCCAGGACCCCGGGATCATGAGCTGAAGTCAGCCACGTAACTGACTGAGCCACCCAGGTGCCAAGGTCCTGATTGTATCTTGACCCATCACAGACATAGTGGTCCCACTGATGTCAATGTTCTGTGAAATTGTTTCCATTCAGCTTAGGAACAGAACTGTGAGTCCCAGGCCAGCTCCTGGAGGTCAGGGGCTTCTTTCTTATATACCAACATTTGTTGATGTCTGCTCTGGGCTGTGTGCTGGTGTATAGAAATTACTTGCCATCGTGTCCTTAGGGACCTCATGGCTGGTAGGAAAAATGGGCAAGAGAACAAATACAGACCACTGGAAAGCGCTGTAGTTAAGGGTCTGAGCCCTGGAGATAGGCTATGAAGCTTTTTTTTTCTTAAGACTTATTTATTTATTTTAGAGAGAAAGAGTAAGAATGCGAGAGTGGGGAGAAGGGGGAGAGGCAGAATCCTCAAGCAGACTCCCCGCTGAGTGCAGAGCCCGATGCAGGGCTTGATCATGACCTGAGCCAAAATCAAGAGCTGGACGCTTAACCCATTGAACCACCTGGGTGCCCTGGCTACGAACTTTAAATCCCAGATGTGCCACTCACTAACTGAGTTCTGGGCCTCAGTTCGCTCATCTGTAAATGAGGACAACAATAGCATCTACATTATAGAGTTGACGCAAGGATCAAGTGAGCTCATGCATGGATTACTGGTTACTTAAATGGCTTGGAACTGATGGGGTCAGAAGAGGATCCAGGTTTTGTGAGGCTTGGTGTTTATCCAATTTGGGGAGACCCCCTTTAAACAAAAAAAGAATTTTCAATGTCGTACTTTTTCGAACATTGTAAAACATGTGGCCACGTGCACACATTGCTGGACCCCCTACCAGGGCCTCAGAAATGACTTGAAAGCTTAAACTTCATTACATTCTCTACAACTCTGACCTTGGGAAGAGGCAAAATTATGCAATAGCTTCATT